ATCAACATGCATGGTGAACGCGCCCATTTTGAAACACGCTAAAATCCACACACAACAGGCTGAGCCTATCATCAAATACAGACGCAACAATAGCAAACAACAAACATCCCGCACACCATCCTGCCGGGAGTCTAAATCAACAGCTTACTGTTTATCTTCACGAGTTGGCACTCAGGTGATAAATAAGTTAGGCTATCTTAAACACACAGAGAGAGCAGCGCGTACGTTAGTTTCACGCCGCTGATAAACAATGCACGTGAAGGTAAACCCTCGCATTGCAGCGGTCAGTGGGAGACGTGACCAGTAGCCTATTGTTTGGCTCGTTTAAAGTAGAAGTTGTGAGAGAAACAAACTCAGATAAAATTTCAGGCTTCGTGAAGAGATTAAATGAGACTCCAAAAGTTACCCGCCCCCGCACAGGCTACATAACAGGTAAGGTTGACAAAGTACAGCTTTGACCACCTGTTTCTGTGTAACTGATGGGTGATTCATAGCGAACATGCCCTTGGCCACGTGGTATGCCCGTGGCATTGGTTTTCAGCACGTAGGCCTACATTTCCTGCAGCCTGGTAACACATATATAGTTAATCATTGGCTTCAGTCTATTGTTCACCGAGAGAACAGTGTAACTGAATAAAATCAATCAGGTGTGGTTGTTGGTGCTGGAAATGAGGGTCATAAATTAATCAATCAAGTTTTATTTGAACTGCAAAATGACCAGCAGACATGGTCCCAATACACTTTTACAAAATACACCAAAATAATGTGAATGCACTTCACACCATTAGATTGTAATTAACCCTGCATGTTTCTAGTTAAATTGGTTTGAGATAGTGTTGAGATATTTAGACAGGGAGACCCTCACTTTACCTTCTAGTCTTTCTCTTAAGTCAGATCAGTACACCTGCTGCAGTGTTTTACCACAGAGAATTTAGCATGGCCCTAGAGATGGTAACATCACTGTTCACCACTTTGGTCCAGACTAAAATATGTGAACAACTGCTGAATGGATTTCCTTGAAAATCTTTAGACATTCACATCCCCCAGATGGTGAAGCCTACTGACTTTATTTGTGAAAATGCAATAAAGGGCAATTTCACTGCTTTTCTCACATCTAGACCACATTAGACCAGGTCCAGATAAAATAAACTATACCTATAACTGTCAAATGTGGACTAGATTATCCCAGGGAGGCTAAAGATTCCTTTAAACACAGACAAACACATTTATGCTATTTTCACAAATAGAAGGCAGTGAAATCGCCCTTTTTTATTTTCACAAATAGAATAAAGGTTTTACACATTTGAAAGTTGGTTTCAAACAGTATCAAGGCTTTACTTTCGGTCACAATGTAATGTATGTAAGTAATGTAATGTAAGTTTCCCTTAACTTTCCCTTTAACTCAATCCGAAGCTAACTTCCGCACCGTCTCACGGAGCTGCTTGTGTGACTGTAGTTTTCACTGTGGTCGCTTTCCAATAATGCTCTCAGAGACATCTGGTCTCTGTAAACTTTTTGCAGGCCCCATCACAGAAAAACGCAGTGTGCTTTGTGTAGGATTTGGAAAATAAGCAGAAGTACAGAACATACAGAAGTCAGAAATTCAATTTGCTACAAGCAAGGTGAGACTTCAACACTGTTCACAAAAGGCATTTTGACATGTCACAGTAGGAAAAGCAAAGGTGTGAAGCCCTTTCCTGCTATGACAAGTAAAAAGACTTTTACAGTATGTTGTTGTGTGGCTATAACATATCACTGTGTCATCATACCTCCTGCTTCCGTCTCTGCATGAGACAATCATTAGGAAAATGACCAGCTGTTGTGCTGCTGTATGTTTAAACACAAATATGACGTCACACAGGGTGAAAATACAAGAAAATCGGATACCATATTTTTAAAACACGATGATGTCTTTCAACATTATTCAGCTGCTATTTCCAGCCTTGTCTCTCCTGCAACTGTTTTGAAAACAAAGACAACACTGTTTTTCTTGATTAGTGTTTACATTCCAGTCTCTGTGCTGTGTCTGGGTTTCGGCTGGTCCTACAGTTGTGGACTAGTACAATGGCTGGAAGTTACAGCGCCTCAAGCATTTATTAAGCAACTCTGTTCCCTCATAGCAGGTTCCCTCAGTTTTTTTTGGTAAACATGTATTATAAGATATTTCCTCTTATTTGTAAGAAGGTCCAGAATTTATTATTTGCAGCTTGCAGAAAACCTGCATTTAAAAACTACTATTGCAGCATGTTGTACAGGTGTTGTTTTTAAGTAATTAATTAATTAATCTGTTTTCTCCAGGGTTTTGATGATGTGACAGGGGAGCCTCTGGTCCAGAGGAATGATGACACACCAGAGACGGTCACACGGAGACTGAAGGCCTACCAAACCCAGACAGAGCCCGTCTTAGAGTTCTACAGGTAGAATAGTAAAGATAATTCAAAATATACCTTCTTTTGTATATGTCAATGACTCTTGGACTTTAAATATTATAGAGACCTATTTTGCATCGCTGACAGAGAACTTAAGGAGGAAAAGTGGGTGTGTCTAACTGCATTACAGTGTAATATCTCACTGATGTGTACTCCACAAAAATGCCTTAATAGATAAAAGGCTACAACCAAATTCTGCTGACCCTTGACCTTGGCCTCCCTGCACATTCTTCAAAGTTGCATGCATAACTAAAAACAAATTTCTAAAGAACCACATTCCAAGAGAAAAAGTTGAGAAGTGCAAACACCCATTTTTCACGTCATTATAGGAATTAAAAAATGAAAACACAAATATTTAAAAATGTCTTTTTTTATCTTAAAAGTTTTACCAGAATCAATTAAAAGCAAGCAAGAAACACAAAACAAAAGTACAGATACTAGATTTGTGAGGCTGTGGACCCAGTTTCAAAGCACACGTATTTTAATTTCTATTTCTGTACTAATTAGAAAGGAAAACACATTACTGTGTGTTGCCTCAAACCACAGGAATGAGTTTAGCTACTGCCCCACTTACTTTTTCCACGTTAGAGAGGCTATTCATCATGTGAAGGAAGTGCATGAGATTACAGGCTGGGTATAGCAGGGGACAGAGTTTTCGCTGTAAAGGATGGAATCTGATTGTTGTTTAACACATTTTATTTGCTGTACAGAATATTTTAAGGTAATACTCATATTTATACCCACCTTGAAGGCTGGTTAAAAGATCATGCGCATCTTTTTAATGCTGTGTAATATTGGTATAACAGTTCAGACAGTGACTGTAAAAAAATTATTTCTGTGTTTCTTTGTCTTGCCAGGAGTAAAGGTGTGCTGCAGACCTTCTCCGGGACAGAAACCAACAAGATCTGGCCACACGTGGAGGCTTTCCTCCACAGAAAACTCTTCTCCCTCAACCAGAAGGTTGCATAGAAAGCCTGAACAGAAAGGAACAAGAAGGGTTAATTATGACCAGCAGAAACCTCTCTGTATGCAGGTGCCACTTTCTGCTAAACAAGAGGAGAGCCATCTGTTTAATAATACGTTCTGAATGTTTATGGAGCATGCTCAGAGTTTATGTCAGGAAGCAAAAAAAACAGACTTTTAAAGTACCCATTGCCCTGTTATTGCACTGCTTCCACAAAGAGTGTCTTATCATTCCATACTGTGCCTTTATACAGCTGGGAGAGAAGATCTTTAACAGCAGAATATAAAGGTGCAGATATATATGAACATAGAAATAATCGTTATGGCTTGTCCCCTCTGGTGAATGCAGCCACCTTTAAGTAGAATGTTTAAGTTTTAGGTTTTCTAATTACAATCTCAAGTTATTTTCTTAGTTGATGGCATTGAAATGAATGGGAACACACCACAAGGTATCTTGAGCTAAATAAGAGACTTTACAGCTTTTTTGGTAAGAAATCCTTTGAATTTAATATTGCAAGGGCTTTTTGCCCCAGCATAACAAATGCTGCCGAGGTGACTGTTTCTTATGCAGTGGGTTATGCCCCTGAAGGGAATTGCCACGTCCTACAAATGACTGTAAATTCACAAATACATTGAAGTGCCTTTTGCTGCTTTTGAAAATGGAACAGGTGGCTCAGTGGATGTAGTCTGTAAATACTTTTTATGAATATGGACCAGATATATTAATGTATAAAGTGACCACTTATTATATTGAATATGTATTGATTTTTAAATTAAACAATGTCTAACAGCTTCTTTCAACCACCTCAAGCCTTAATAGCATTGCCTCTGAAATACGCCTCATTGTTTTTAACCAGGTCTATAAATGTATACTGGTATTTGCCATTTAATGTGACTCGACAACTCAAATCTTTATTGAAAAAAAGTATTTGCTTTTGAAGCACAGTTCATCTTTTGAGAAGATATCCCAACATTCAAGGTTGCTCTGCAGTTGTGTTTTTGCACTCAGGTCTTAAGAATGTCACACCATGTTAAAAGCCACAGAAAAACTAACTTGCCTTGCAACGTACTGTAGATTTATGCAGTGAAAAGTTTCCTGAATTGTACTGCGTGCATTTTTAAACACTTGAATACAATGTGTAAAAAAAAGCACATCACCTCTTCATAAACAACTTAACTGTGTCACAAATTTTTATTATGAATCACAATAAACGTCTGATACTAGTTAGGCTTATTGTTTGCAGTATTATTGTACATCAGACACAACTGGATAGCTTCCTAGTCATTGTTTTAATTTGATTCATTTGAGCACCTCCACTGATTCAGCATTGTGCTGTATAACTGCAAAAAGAAAGTATCAAGCGATGCAGTAGATAGACATTGTATTTTTTCCCCGCCCATGCATTTTTTGCCATCAAACCCTGACGCCTACATTACCCACAATGCAACCTGACCACCACCAGTTAGCTTAGCTTAAAGCTTATGCTAACGTAGCCTCGAGCAGAGATGAGGCGCTTGCTACAGAGGTCTGGTAAGCTAATTTCTTTCTAACCCTCAGATTTATTCATATTTAAAAACAACTTTTGTAAAATTATCAGACTTTAAAAGCTCTCTCTGGTGCCACAAAAGGCTTTATTCAACTTTTGTCAAATGCACAGTACTATTCAAGACCTGTACGCAGACAATATGTTATATAGGTGGAGTTAACTTTTATGCCATTTCAGACTCCTCGATTTTAAATGTCACTGTAGGTCTAAGAACTGTAGCAGTTGACAACAAAACACAAACATTTAGCACTGGCTTTATATTTGAATAGCAGCGGCAAGAGAAGGTCAAATCTTACAGTAGCCTACTGTGAATGAGAAGTGTAACTCTTGAGTTTTCCTAAAGCTCATAGGTCAGTGACAGAAATTCTTAAATACCAAGTGTCTCCATGTTTACACTTACACATTTTGTGATAACATGTAGCTAATTTAGGTAGTTGAGACACTATGGACACAGATTTGGTACAACAGCTTAAGCCATACAATCAGTTTGCATAGTTGATTAGTCACCGTGGACAAAAAAAAAGAAAACATACATTTAAGACCACTATAGCACACTGCTTTAGCTTCACTGCTTACATCTGTTTTATGTTTACAGTATTTATGATACTTCTAATATCTGAACTGAAATAATGAAGGACAGGTGCACTGCAGAATCAACAATGCATCACACAGTAGCTTTAGTCATAAACACATGTATTGTACTTGAATGCATCGTAAGGTACCTTTAATTCCACTGCCTGCAGTAAAAGCTTTCCTCATCATGTCACTGAACAGATTTTCACACTGATTTTGGCGGTCTTGTTAAATAAAGAATATTATCATCAAGGGGACATAGGAAGTCTAAGAAATCTGACAAAAGATCCCTTGAATAGTGTGACCAAAAAAAGGTGAGCAAACATAATATAAAAAGGAAAAACAAAACAAAATATCTAACAAATCAAAAACACAAGCTCATTTAAATCCTGCTTGTAAAATAAAAATATTAAGAATTTCTGATTAAATTCTGGATAACACAAACACGGCATGGGGAAGAATAATAAAGTCAAGTGCTTCAAACACTCCACCTCAACCTCTTTTGTTTTTTGTTTTTTTTTTTTAGAAAGAGAAATATAAAGTGCAGGACACATTCAGATGCAGAATTCCTTTCTGCAAACAAATATAGAGTAAAACTCTGTTAAGAGCTCAGCCCCCCCCCCCCGCCTTTTAGCTCCAACTCTGGTGTAGATCCCAGAATCGCGAACTTTATACAGCACACCACTGACAACAGTCTGCACAGGGCACTTGTATAAGGAAACTGGTGGTTGTGACTCGGCTTCTGATGCTGGGTACAGATGGCAAGCTGGCAAAGAAAATGTAAGCTAGTTTTGCTCTGGCCCATCACTGAACCAGAACAAATAAATACACAAAGCCCACGCAGGCCTAGTTAACCTTTATATACTGAAAGTGAATATTACTCCATCACCTTTGTGCCAGTTAAAATATGAGGCTTTGATTATTGATTATGTGAATTCGTTGTAAAATACATTCCAAATGAGCACACTTCAGCTGATGAATAATAACGAAACTGACAAAGTGCCCTCTTTGCACCTTACATCATCATGCCTCTTGCACTCAAACACCTGGATACGTTGCCCCTCTAAAATGCATGTTTGCATCGTGTTATAAATGCAGAGTTATAATATTGTCTCACATACATAAAAACATGCGCTACTGTCTTCAGCTCATTATTCATCTTTGCCTTATGTCAAGCCACTTAAATTAACACAGCCAAGTGCACACCATAATTACTGTCATCTTCTACTGTTATCTCGTTGTGTGGGGACTGTGTGGAAATTCAACTGATTTCCCAGTGTTTTTGTATTACGACTTTTGTATTACCGGTATGTGGGCATTACGGTCTGCACACTAAATCAAATGTGTCAAAGCATGATAATGGGAGATGTAAAGGAGGCAGTCTGATTACTTGCACACTTAACCTTCTCCAGACAACACTAGGAATACTTTTTTAGAAAACCAAAAACATTAAAAGCACTCTTATACTAGATATGCATGAACATCATCTCCCAAAGTGTTCAAAGCAAAAATATGTTAGATCCTATTCTGCATCTGTAATAGCAGCACCCTCAAATCACCCTAATCATTTGTATTAACTTTAGAACTCTAGTTATACTTCGACAACAATCAGGTGATCCCACAGTAATGCATAACAAACGCCAAGTAAATGTAAAACATTAACACTACCATCTTAAAACATCAGTTTTGTCTGATTATTTCAGACAACTGTGAGTCAGCTAACCTAACAATATACTGCATTGTTTAGCCTCTCCTGATGACAGATCTGTGGGATTAGCTGCAACTCTTGCACGGTCTCAACACCTGCACGGTGAATCTGACCGGAGCCCTTTTAATCCCACCCTTTTTACTCCTACATTGTTATTTGCCTGACAAGTTAACTGCTGGAGAAGACACAAACCAAACAAAAGTAACCACAATTGCAGCACACACGCTCTCTATATTTACTACAGATTCATTAAACACAGACAAACTGCTCTTTGTTCACTGGCATACAGCTAGCAGGTTAGCTTTTTGTGAACCACGGGGGAAAAAAATGATAATATATGTGAGGCCACGTGTCTTTACCAAATATATAATAAAATAAATAATTTTTTTTAAAAAAGGTATGACAACTGACAAGAGATTGACAACAGATCTGAAACTCAGATAAAAAGATTTCTTATTCCACACATAAAACCCCAGCTGCACTTTCAGATAAACAAACATGCTCAGAAGTAACTAATCATATGATTGCTTGCTTTTCTCCTCATGATTCCAACTTCACTCATTGGATTTGGTACCTAACTGACTTTATTGGTTTAGTATTCTTTGTGTTGTCTGGATTTTTATTTTCAATTTGTCAGTTTGTGTTGCTTTACAGGTGTTTCCCTTTTTCAGAAGCACCAGCTTGCATGATATAAATAACTCCCATCTGTAGAACCAGGGTTGTGGCACAACACATGAATGTAGCTCTGGCAAGAGAAACTGCAGGAACCAACTCGCCAGACGCCAACCACAGTGACACAATACCGACAACAGTGAGAAAAGTTTGTTGTCCTCGAACCATTATTTCCTGCAGGTTCTCAGATGAAAATGTCAGCTTAAAAGACTGCTCATGTCTCCTGCTCTGCGCTGGTGTTCTTTCAGCCTGGTCTGCTATGTGAAGAGGGGTTAAAACTCAGGTTGTTCCTAAATGGGGCGACGATGGAGATGGACGAAAAGCAGGGGGCCGATCCAACAATCCCTAGGAAGTTTCCATCATCCTCATATCGTCTGTTTCTGTGACGTCATCCTTTGTCCACCTCCCAGTGCTTGTCCAAAGTCCGGCCTCTATATAGCGCTTCATAGGATACTCTGACACCTAGTGGAGGGAGAGAAAGACAGGAGGGCCCAAAAAACATTCACAGGTGAGGATTGTCATGCAGATATCAAACTCAAAAATAGGTTTGAATGGAGCTGGAGAGAGACTCTGTGGGGGATTAACCTACTGCTGCCTAAATAGATGATTGTAATAGTTATGTAAATCAAAAGCAGGACCAGGAGAGCAAAGTTTCAGTTTCAACAGGCTTGACTGCATTCCTGGGCAGCCATCATTTCCCTCTGGGAGAAGAGGAGGAGGGTTTTTTTCCCCCTTCTCTCTGGTTAGATGTTTGGCAGGCTAGTCAAGCTGTGGGGCCAGCAGGGGGGAGGAGGAGGCCTCATTCTCTCTCACTTTACAAAAGCTCATTGTTTACCATTTGGCAGCTTTCACACTCTGCTTCATTTGCATATTGGAATACTGGCTTCAGCCAAACATCTCTTTCAAGTCTGTTCTCAGTTTACTTTGTCATATATAATATAGGCCTTCAATATGTATGAGACTGACATCTCTGAGCTACAGGGGAGTTATTTAAATTTTCTGTGATACCCGAGCTGCTGACACAATGATTAGGGGGAAGGTGAGGATATTATGTATTGTTTGGACTTGGAAAAGTATCTGCAAACATGCATACATATAAACTTTTTTTTTTTAAATGCTTACATGCTCCCCAATATTAAACTTAAAATTTCAGACACAATCCAGTCATCTGAAATTTACCTTTGGTTCTATCAGCAGTCCCATACCCCTTTAAGAAGGTGAAGAAGTCCATCTCCAGCAAAAGTGGATTTCATTTTTATCAATCCTTAACAACAAGGGGAATCAGGCTGGCAAAATAACCTTGCTTGCCTCTGAGCCTGTTTTTTTGTTTATGCCACCACGTGACAACTCTATGGCTGCTCAACATCCATACCCCCCTTGCAGTGGCCAAACCCTAGTTTGAGAACCACTGGGTTATATACCAATATGTATTCATTCATGACTTCAGACAGTCAGTAGTGAAGAATACAGCACATCAAAGACATGAATCAAACTACCTAATATAGCCTATTCTTCTACCTGTTGTAACAGTTTCACTATGTATCTAAATAATGACACATACAGGACAACAGTTTAATTTCAATGGGCAACTTTTCTATAGTATATTTAGACAGACAAAAAGAGACATTATCCAATGTGTTGCTTAACAGTTTCAAGATTGCACTACAGTGGAACACATAAAACATGACTAATTAAAAGTACTGCCTTTTCTCTTTTGCACTCCTGCTAGGTTATCCTCCTCATCCTAACCAAAAAGGCTGGTCTCACTGATGACATCAGCAACACGATCAACTCCAGGTCCTGGTATGTAGGTAAAAAAAAATTCACAAGTGCCACCTTGCGCTGTGTTATCTTTAATTCCAATGAATCCCTCCCTGCCGTTGCCGTTTATGAACAACAGTTGAATCATGTGACTTGAAACTGAGCATAAGCAAGCAAATGTGAAAATAGTTATTTTGAGACAATGAAACACCAGTGCTGGAGTTTTAAAATCCAACTAGAGGTGACCTTTGCAAGTTCTTTACATCAGAGGACTAATATACAACAGCTCAATGGTGCCATCTTACAGCTGTGTGTGGTAACTGCAAAAGCCTATAACTATAAGGCTCACTGGGAAAAGGAGAGAAGGAGCACTTACAGGAGGTAAACAGTCCAGGGCTTCTTTGGGGTCAAATCTGCAGTTTGTGCCAGCATTCTGTTGTTCACCATTGTTGACTGTGTCACCTCTACACTTGACTGTGTACTCTTTCACTCTGTGTTTGAAGGCCTCAAGCTCTGTATGGAAGACTTCCAAGTAGACGTCTTGTCCGTCCTATACAGCAACAAAGGCAACAATATTATGAAAACAAGGTGCAAGATGGCTAAAAAGGAAACCACATTAATTTGAGGATTCAAACACATTAATATGAGGATTCAAATTACTGTGAAGACGATTTCAATCAGACAGAGTCTTGCACAACCCATAACAAAAACTAGAAAATCCAAGTGTAAAGCCAAGTTTCTAAAATAATCTCCTGTTGTTACACTGCATTAACATGCACTGCAGGGCAGAGCTGGTGACTCTCATACTGTACAGACAGGTACACAGGTAGGTGCAGTATGTTCACATACAGTATTAATCAGACTTGTGTGTCTTACTTTGGCTTTGTGGAAGAACTGTCTGAAGCAGCCTCGAGGATCCTGCTGAGAGTTTGAGGCCATCTCCAGAATGAACTGCATGACTACAGCTTGGTGCGCCACCTGCTCCATCAGCGCTTCTTTCTGCAGGACACAAACTGAATTCTAATTACTGAATTTTAATACTTAACATCTATGCAGTATGTATGTTTATAATGTCTTTAAAGCTACTTAAGAGTGTAAACTCAGTGGAGGATCAGCACACACATTATTTGTGGCAAGGTTCAAATCAAGCGCAACTGGACTTGGGTGAAGATACTAGAAGACGTTTCGTCCCTCATCCAAGAGACTTCTTCAGTTCTGAAATGACCAGTAGGGAAACTCAGCTATTTAACCTCTATGGGGTCGTTTGCCAAGATCATCGATACTGCTGGTTTGTTAGTGCTCCTTGCTGTTGTAACGACAGTCGTTATGGTCGTTAGAAACTACCTGTGGCCAAGTCTGAAGACCAGCGTTGGCATCTTCAACTGAGGCCAAGAGGTTATGTTTGTTAAGTTCCCTGGTAATTGATGAAAGGACAGCATTGTAAGTGGGGGATAAGTGGTGGCGTAGACCCCCTCATCTGTTCAGCGAGGGCTTTTCAACCCGGGTGTAAATGGCTTGCTTGACACCTCTTTCAAACCATCCATCTTCTCTGTCTAAAATGTGCACCTGGTGGTCTTCAAACGAGTGTCCTTTATCCTTCAGATGTAAATAAACTGCAGAGTCTTGACCTGGGAAGTTTAAGCTTCTGTGTTGAGCCATGCGTTTGTGTAGTGGTTGTTTAGTTTCCCCTAATGTACAGGTTTGTGCATTCCTCACTGCATTGGACCGCATACACTAGATTGCTTTTCTTGTGTTTGGGTGTGCGGTCTTTGGGATGGACCAGTATCTGTCTTAGCGTGTTCAAATAGTTTCCCTAATAGTCATCTGAGAACTGAAGAAGTCTCTTGGATGAGGGACTAAACGTCTTCTAGTATCTTCAACAAAGTGCCCTTGATTTAGTGAACATCTCACTAAACATCTGACACCTTCATATTTTAAGTTGGCGCCAAGACAAAGGGGACCCACTAAACATATCCAACACCTGAATACCTAAGGGAATTCTTAAAGTCACTGCGTGTGTAAGCACACTGCCTCACCCCCTAAACTTTTTTTATCGCCAACAAATCCTCTGATAAGAGTCTAAGCTACAATGAATTTATTGTGACGGCCCCCCCTGCAGGGTTCATACTGCTGTTGGTGTGCTTTCTGTCTCCAGGGCTGCAGACCTGATTGGCAGGGTAATCAGCGGCATGGGACACACCTGGGCCCGGTGTGCCCCATGCATATGAGCCAGAGCAGCAGTCAGTCTTGGGCTGCGTTCGAAAAATCTTTTTTGCTTAGGAAGTTCCTAACTGAGTGAAGTGAACCGGAACTATTTCAGTGGCAGCCATGATAAGAGCAGTTCAAATTCTCTAAAAGCTAAGTAAAGGTGCCTCAATGCTTCCTTTCATATCTCCTTTAGCATAGGGTACACCTGACCATCCTTTATGAAAGGAAAGGACAGAATGCCATCCCACAATTCCTTGTGGCGGCAACATTTAAAGTGGCGCACGTTCTCAAACTCAAACAATACAACCCATGAACCACATTTATCAAGATCCTTGCAACACAGACGCACATTATAATACTTTAATAAGACTCACAATTACCTTCTTTCTTTTGGTTTGTTTTCTTTTGGCTTTTTTGTAATCTAATACTGTTTCAACGCCGTTTTATGTTTCAGGTTATTGAAATAAGCCATTACGTGTTTTCTACAATACAAAAAAATAATAAACCAACCATGAGGGATAAAGGAGGTTGATCACCATGTAAGTTACCATTGGCTATTAAGCCTTTTCTCTCTTATGCCATAACTTGCTAATATGCATATATCTTAAACTGTCAACAATAACTGAGACCCATGCGAGCTGTTACTAGTCTTGTAACGTGGTCAAAGTGAGGATAATGTTGCAGCATGTAGCCAAACGTTATGTACTGCAGCCTTCAGCAAATAAATTTTACTTCAGTCACAGATGCTGACACCCTCGCCTTAATAAAGGCAAAGATCAAGCTGGATAACCTCTACAGTAGGCGTTTCCCCACACACTGATTTATTTGTGGCGGCCTGCCACATTATCAACGCTGATTTTCGATTGATTTTGTTACTATTTAAAATGGGTAAAATCATATTTGATGACAGAACTCCGCACAGCGCATATATTCTCCCAGCATCTCCTCTCGCCCCGTCGCTCTCTCTCTCTCTCGGCACAGTTACGCTGTGATTCTGTGGGAAACACTGTATTGGGATTCATGTTGATAAATACGCCGGGTGTATGGAGGGTGAGTGTGAGCAAGCATTCTCAATGTGACAACCCTGTCCATTGTTTAGTGACTGGTAGGCTACCTTATCTGCCTTTTTGCTATCTTGGTTATTAAGTAATATATTCCACCGTGTTGTCCACCTTTAGATGGCCTGCATTACAACAACATGGGGCGCAGTGTCAAAGATGCGCTTTTTGTAGTCCATCTTCAGAACATTGTAGTTTCATCACGTCAGTAAAATCTGCCGTCGCATAATTACGTCGCTTAGAAAAGAGCAGTCGGATTCTCTTAGATCCGCCATCTTCTTTTCCTAAGTCCTTACGGATTCTCCTTCACATCTTGCCTTGACCTTTCCATCGAGGTCAAGGAAAGGTGGTTAAGGAAAGGAGAATTTTGACTTTTCGGATGCAGCCTTGGGTTATGACCTCCTCATCTCACGGCTTCCTTTGTTTGTTTGGTTTCTTGTCTTTGTTTTTACAGCACAACATCCATGCAGCACATTTTCATTCATCCACTCCCTACACTACTAACCTTACAGATTCTTCCCACTCATTGGTTTTGCTTATTTTCTTATTAATAAATCACTTTGTTATTTAGTTTACCCGTGTCTCTCCCATTTTTGTTACAGTCCAAGAGCCAGGCTGTGACATTATTCACCTTGCAAATACATTCAGTGCAGCCACAGTGAGATTTAGCCTCTGTGCCATACATGTAGAACATGTTGTCCAGAAACACATGAAAGCTTACCGACGCATAGGCCTTACTCACTGAAGACATTTTGACATGTGATAGTAAAAAAAGCACAGGTTTCACTAATAAAATAATTGACAGGCTGAGCTGTATTTAGCTGCTTCGGTTAGTTTCAGGGTCCTGCTATTGTGCGTGCCGGCTGACTAAGACACTTTAATGAACATCTGTGCCTTTCCTACAATGCCAAGTCAAAACCTCTGACCATATCGATTGCAATAGGCCTTTTTCTCAGCAGTAGGGTTTATGCCAGAACTACCTTGCAGCAGCATTTTCAGTGTTTGCAGATGTGTACATGCTCAGGCACACAATTCCATGTTTACGCTCAACTACGTGGCCCTTATGTGCATAGACAGAAATAGACTTCCCTGCCACAGAGGCATCAACTGTATCAGGCTGTGACTGGTTAGCAGGATGAATTCCTTGTGTTTTTTTGTTGAGGTATTGTTGATAATAAAAAAAAATAACACCAAGTACATTACCCCTTCTCGCTGTAGGGTAATGCACCAAAGAATTAAGTAGTTGGCTGTTTCCTCACAGATGAGCTGAGGCATGTGTGCAAGGAATCGCTGACTGTCGTCCCATCTCCGCAACATACCTGACAAACAGAGAAAAAGCATATCAGTTTGTTGTCTGAAGACATTAGAAAAAGGACCATATGGGTGATTTATCATGTAAAATTACTGTCAAAGAAAAAATGCTGATGCAGATCCAAAGTATCTTGTACATTTATAGACTGATTTCCTTCCTTCCAGCAGAGACACTTTTAACAACATTTTATAATATGAAAATGACCTTACAGACATAACACTGTTTTGAGGAGGCAATTCATCCTAATGAATTTTTAGTTTTTGTAAAAGTTATTTATTTGTAAAATTAGAACGTAAAGACTGACTCATCTACACAACTCAAATGCAGTGCAAACTGCCTTTACTGCATTTTAGAGGCACTTTTATAAAGACTTAAATACGAAGTACTGAATTTGGATAAAACACCAACTGTAACTGAAACTATTCTGTAACTGACATGAGCAGGGAGTTGCTGAAAAACAGTAGACAGCTTTTTCTAACACAGTCGAGTGTAATGTGTTGAGATGAAATTCCTTCATAAATATTAATCACCCGAGAGTTCACATGAAAACTGAATTATATGATCTCTTCTAGTGAAACTGGAGGACAAATCCTGCCTACAGTTGCAGGAGCCACAAGTTCAATAGATAACATTTAATTTAAATAAAAACAAGACAGGCTTTTTTTTTTAACCTTTAATCTGAGGATAAGACAATTCTTATTAGAAACATCAGATTTGGCATCTCACCAAAATGCCTGAGCTCTTGTTCATGCTTCTGGGGAAATGTGTTGCACTTGTCCTGGTCCATTTCTACAGGTTGACTTTGGACATTGATGATACTCTGAAGAAGAAAGAAGACATTAACTGTTGATGACGTTACTACACGGTCAGTAGAAAGTAGGTACACATTGTCAAATACGTTTAAAGGTTCAGTGTGTAAGATTTAGTGGCATCTAGTGGTGAGGGTTGTGAATTGCAACCAACTTTGCAGTCTACCACTGCCCCCTACCCTTTCAAAGAGCCTAGGACAGCTACGGTGGCTGACACAGCACAAAAGGTGTCTCTTTTGAGATAATAGAGTAGCCAATCAAGAAATTACGTTTCTTTAGGTATATTTATTAAGAAATTATTAAGGCTGTCCCTGACTAAGGATTTACATAGTCGAATCAGAACCGTAAAAGTCTCGCCTGTAGCTGACTGATCGTCAAATCATGTGTGTTTTTGTGCGCGGTGATTGCGAGCCGGAGAGGGTAGCTCCGCTTTAATCTTGAGAAGCTGCAGAGCTGCAGTTTCTATTCATTCAACTTACACTCGCTGTCTCTCTCGCCTGTCATTCACCGGTCTTGTGTAGAGTTTAGCGTGCATTCCGTGCTGCCGACAACTGCATCCACATCACGGTTCCTCGCGGGTCTATTTTAAGTAGCCGGTTTATCAACAATGATAAATTATCCGAGAGTCCCCCGAGGGGCAGACAACTCGGCACAACACCAGTGAAGCTGGGGCACCGTCTCTTCAGCAAGTGTTCCTCTTCTGCCACTGCACACATAAATGCTACACGTACACATGCGCACTAACAACCCAGGGTTAGGATTACAATTTAGGATTTATGTACACACTTTAAAGTTTTATTCTTTTTACATGTGTATTTACAGCATTAAACGTTGAACTGTATATTGTAATAGGCCGTATATTTACTTATTGGGAGAAAACTGGTAGTTTTCGACTATTCGGGGTCAGCCCTAGAAATTATATTTACTTAATTATTCAGTAAAAACATATGTTATTGTGACTTGGCCGCTGACAGATAACATGGAAAGTGTAAGTCAAGAGTGTGAAACACTGTCACTGTCTCTGCACCACAGTCCATTATAAACTACACATTAAAGTTTATACAAACATTGACAAGGGAAACACATTCATTCTCTCTGTGATTATGGACCATCGCCAAAACTGCCCACCAGCAATAATATCTGGCCTGCTGCCAGATTATGGTGCTTTGATAGAAAATTTAAATAAATAAATACTTTGATAGCGGTGCCGAAATAGATCTCAGTCATGACAGCAACAGTCACTCACATAATCACTTCCTCTTTAGTGGTTTTGCCTACAAAATAAAAGCACGAGAAGCTTGTCTACTGTAATGCTATATTTGGAATTTACTTTGAAAAATTCTGAATGACATTAAGATTCTGTAGCCTGCTTGATACACCTCTGAAAGAGCCATCAGCCTGGAGAGACTGGGGAATTGCAAACGCGTCTGTAGGATGATGGATGAGGATCAAACACCGAAACACAAACAGTGCAACACATGCCGTGATCTAAGAAAAATTCGCTAAAGAATCCATTTGTTGAGAAAGAAAAAAAAAAAAAAAATAAAGTCCTGAGGTTGGATCGAACACTCAACCCTTAAGCTGATGACACACGGGTCAACTTTTTGAGCAATGTTGCTGGGCAATCTTGCTGGTGGCAAGTCCGACTATGTTTTGAACGGATAGCGGTGGTGATGGGAGGGTGGTGGAGTGATGGGGGAAGGGGATTACGGTAGTAATCTTTACTCATTACCATTGACGGCAACATTGCCCAGCACCATTGCTCTAAAAGTTGCTCCGTGTATCATCAGCTTAACGTAGGTATTCAGCATAGTGATGTGTCAGCACAGCCTATTCTACCAGCAGTAGAACAAGAAGAACGCAGTGACGAAAAGCGCTGTTTGTCCGTTCTCAGCTACTGTAGAAACGACGACGTCCATATAAGGGGGTGCCAGCGGTTATGTACATATAAATGGCTCATTCTAAGGTAATAAAAACATAATGGTTTATAATGTAAGGTCTTTGAACACCACTGAGAACATAGTTATGGAACTTGTATTGCATTTCTGTCGATTGAACCTCTGAAGTATTCAACACTGGACCTTTAAGAGAATTTTTCAGTCGTGATTTTGTTTGCTTTAAATTTTCCACACCAGCTTTACTGTATGTATCACAATAGCTCAGTTAAGCATGTATAAAGCCAAACACTTTGCACGCTCACCCTATCGAATACGTCCCAACTTCCGACAGCTCCGAGCACAGGACTGCGGCTGGGCTCCTGACCTCCCAGCATGCTCTCCTTGCGCCGCCACTCCTCCTCGGTGTGTGTGAGTTCTGTGGGGCAGGCCAGAGTCCGAGCGCGTTCCTGCTCCAGGGACTCCGAGCTGTGGACGCCAAGAGAACACAGCTGATCCTGGGCCTCGGCCAGTCTCCAGCTGGAGACGATAGAAGCCTTCACACAGCGCTGCTGGCTCTGGCACAGTGACGCCATGGCACAATCACAAAGATGTGATGATGGAGACTGGTGTGTAAGTAAATGGAGGACAAAAGGATTGGGACATGAGAGAAACGGAACATACTGTCATTGTTATTGTGCTTTGACCAAATTAGGCCAGAGAAGTAATATTTTCTGTCGAACCTACCAAGGTGGTATCTCCACCAACCAAACCTGAGGTCAATAACCTCCAATTTCCACAGGGCCCAGATGGTAAAAGCACTTTGGTGTGAATTTATTTAAATTATTTTTTTCTCAATTTTGAAATACCTTGTTGACAATAATTTGAAATAGGCTGTGAATTTCTCAATTTGCACCGTTCAGAAACAATACTGGGTTAAAGATACTACACAGGTTTCAAAATGTTTTCTTTTTGTTTATTCTGAAGTTGAAAACAGAAGTCAAAATATAACATAACATAATAACACAATAAATAACACTTCTCAAGAACTCACAACTTAATTGCATTGTTTACAATAGGTCAACCAAGGAAGTGCCTGGCGAAGTAATGTCCAATTATCTAAAATCGTCAGATTGCCTGCCCCTAAGGAGAGGACATTAACATCCTCCTGAGGAGAGAGGAATTAAATCAGCTTCATCCTTTCCCCCCTCCCCATGTTTTCTAAATAGTCTGAGTGCATCTTTTTCCACAGAATGATTGGCTCTAGGAGTGAACAGCTGACACCTACAAACTGCCTGCTCAATCACAAACTAAATGTGGCCGCAGGCTTTTAAGCTTTCCTGACCTATAACCAGGCTGTATTTGGTACAGGGTGGGGTGAGAGGGCTAAAAATAAAGAAATGCTTGTTTCCTTACCCATGGCTACCCAAACAGCAAATGCCTCACACAAACACACAGCTGTCAGTGTCCGAGAATACCAAGGGACCTTGGGGAATGGGAGAGTGAACTGCTGCTTCATGTCCTGGCCAACACTGGGTTTGCGTCTGGTTAGCACTTTAGCATTCAGTCTGGACTCTGATGTTTTGAACAGTTGTTTGGTAAATGTGATGGCAGCCACTCCCTCCAAGCTAACTGATGGCTAAAACGATGGTGAAGGCAGAAAATGGGACCAGTCACCAGCCCACACGTTGTGCAAGGTAACTGAGAAGTAATCGAACTTGGCATGAACTCACCTAATGATAAGTAGGCTTAGCTAGTTAGCATGCTTTAAATACCATTCCTTTACCTCTGTCATAAGGAGTCAACAACGGACAGCTAGCATGAGCTAATTACCTGCTGGTGAGGATAACCACCACCGAAGTCCCTGTCTGTTGAAGCTGGGTCCCTGCTCAAGTCTTCATCGGGGTAAACTGAAGCTCCGTTGCCCAGCCACTCCATCCCTGCTCAGCAACCAGCTGGCTAGCTCTGCTTATGCTAGCCGTGTTGGATCAATCACTGTGTTGCTGTCTGTGACCAGCTGTCTGCCACAGATATGTTTAATAAGGTTGAGAAGTCAGCAGAGCCGACAGGGAACTGTGATGCACCACGTCGGGGAGTTCCGCTCCTTTAAATGACAACATATAACTACAATAGCAACAGTGCTAAGCAGCCCAGCTACGTCTTTTTACTGGGTGACAAACAGAGCACGTGGTAAACAACTTGACCACGTGACACGGCTTCAAGCATTTCTACTGAGTTCTGTTCATTTCTAGTAATTTCTTCTGTACTGAATGGACAGGGCTCTGTAGTCAAGTGTGAAGACAACATCAGATGGAAAATTATAGAGCAATTCACGATAAAATATACAGAGAAACTGTTTTGGAAGATTTGTGTGGAATTATCTGTCAAAATAATTGTACTCCTGTTGTATATATTTGAGTCTGTAAATAAAACATTACAAATATGTGTTTTTTATAAGCAAAGGCGTTCTGACTAATGATTGGTAGACTATGGTGCACGGTGGTTTCAAGAGGTTTTTCTATGTTTACATTTACAGTACACTTCATAGTAAAATTACTGTTGTGAAGTCATCCTGTAGGGCTCGGTCATATTACGGTACATATTTTAATGTAACCACTTAAACGAAGCCAAATGAGTAAATCTGCTTATTGTGTTTTTTAAAGCACGTATTAAACTGTTGTTATTCTATTCGGCTATGTGGAAAACAGATCATGGGGAAAAAACATCAAGTATGTTTTTGAAAAATGTTTCCGCCTTCCTTGACCAGAAGGTGGCAGTAGTGTACTTTGAACCTGCACGACATCATCCATTGACAACCAATCAGCAGCTCAAGAATTATCTTCAGGTTCGTGTGCCCGGCTCTTAGTACTACAGGCGGTATTACATACAGTGTTTATCGCTCCCGATAAGAAATCTGACGTTAAAGGTATTTATATTTTTCTGATAGAATTATTACATGGTTAAGGGGTTACAGTATGTAAATCCTGACCAATAAAACCGGGTTTGTGTACAGTGTGAGGGCAAGACCTTCCTGGGACCATATTGCAGGGCAAAATAGCAAAGAATCAAAAAAAAGTCCACTGGTACCTTGCAGTCTATTGCTGCGTTCCAGGCAACTCGGAACTGGGAAACTTCCGACCTCCAACTACAAAAACTATCCTGGAACGCCACCTGAAGTCGGATTTCCTACTTGTGAACTCGGAGAAGAAGAATTTGTACCCCGACATCACGAGTAGCAGCTGAATTACGTCAATGGCAGCTCCCATGGAAGCACACATTGTAAATGGTAAACCATAACCTAAAAGGCACAGTAAAGTATCATATTAAAATAATACATACTAGTAGCAAATAGTGAAACGTGTTCTGCATATAAATTGATGTAGACATATTTTGTCAGTGCTATTAGGTAGCTTAACTGTGCATAAACTCGCTAAAGAAACATACGTTTGTCACGGTCAACCATGTTTATTGTTTACATGTAGCATCATCCACCACCTTGAACCTGAAACACTTTGAGATCAGAAGTCGGATATTTCAATTTGGAAATTTCCCAGTCCCGACAGGTCTGGAACGCGGCACAAGACTGGTGCACACAACCTAACCAGATGTAACTAGCTAGGTAGGTGCAATAACTTTCACCTGACGATAGCTAACTGGAATGGTGAGTCCATTCGGATCGATAACGTAACCTTACATTAATATAATTAAATATATTTAGCTTGTCGACACACTAAAAAGAAAGTAGACTGTGTTTTGGAGCGCAACATGAGAACCTAGCACTGAGGTTTGAGCTAGCCTAAAGTGAGTCAGAAGCTAACCAGTGAGCTAATCTACGAACACTGTTGTGACTTTTATTTGGTCTCGGAGAACTCGAGTAAGAATGAAATTAACACACGCAGTGGTGTCATCAGAGGGTGCGCTTGATTTGTCTGGGCCAGAGACGCTAATGTTTGCTAACAGAAAGTGTGAAATCAGGCAGTGAGGAAATAGGATGTGCTGCATGTTATTACCACTAGGTGGGGATAGAAGATAATAAAGAGACCTTATTACAGGTGGCTGGTCTCTCGTGTCTTTTTCCTCTCCATCCCCTGAAAAAGACCGGATAGTGCTGAATGCTAAAGCCCGCCTCTAGAGCCTGCAGATGGGGAGAAACCAGACTTCAGACCTAAAAAAAAAAAAAAAAACATCCTCAGCCTGAAACAAGTCTCATAGCCAGCTGGCATGCTGCCCTTTCTCAGGCTGCTGTTCCCACAGGTTTCTCTCTGTGCGTGCACGAATGATAATATCAGCAAAACTGGTTCATAATCATAAGTGTTCAGTTTTCTTAAATGTTGTTTTAAACTGCTGTATGTCATGTTTCTCACTTTCATTTTTTGGTTTTGTTTAGTTTTTGGCACATTGACAGTATTCAAGAGACTGTGAGAGAGTTGTTGCCCAATATACAATAACACTTTTGTTTTTGCCCCCATTCATCATGAGCTGAACTCAAAGATCTAAGACCTTCTTTATGTACACAAAAGGCCTATTTCTCTCATATTGTTCACAAATCTGTGTTAGTGAACACTTCTCTTTTGCTGAGATAATCCATCTACCTCACAGGTGTGGCATGTCAAGATGCTGATCAGACAGCATGGGTATTGTACAGGTGTGCCTTAGGCTGGCCACACTATTGGGGGCGTCTGGTGGGGTCCGGAAACCAGTCAGTATCTGGTGTGACCACCATTTTCCTCACGCAGTGCAACACTTCTCCTTTGTATAGACTTGATCAGGTTGTTGATTGTGGCCTGTGGAATGTTGGTCCACTCCTCTTCAATGACTGTGCGAAGTTGCAGTCAGCTCGAGACCCCGATTAGGACGACAAGCATGCAGATGAGCTTCCCTGAGACGGTTCCTGACAGTTTGCAGAGATTTTTGCTTATGTAAACCGATGGTTGCACCAGCTGTCCGGGTGGCTGGTCTCAGATGATCTTGGAGATGAAGGTGCTGGATGTGGAGGTCCTGGGCTGGTGTGGTACACGTGGTCTGCGGTTGTGAGTCCAGTTGGATGTACTGCCAAATTCTCTGAAACACCTTTGGAGTTATGGTAGAAACATTTTTCAGTGGCCTTTTATTGTGGCCAACCTAAGACACAGCTGTGCAATACTCATGCTGTCTGATCAGCATTTTGATATGCCACACCTGTGAGGTGGATGGATTATCTCGTCAAAGGAGAAGTGCTCACTGAAACAGATTTATGAACAATATTTGAGAGAAATAGGCCTTTTGTGTACATAGAGAAAGTCTTAGATCTTTGAGTTCAGATCATGATAAATGGGGGCAAAAACAAAAGTGTTGTGTTTATAATTTTATTCAGTGTAATTGAGAGCAAATGCATAAGCCACCAAGCTGTCAATAGGGTGTTAGCTCTGTGCAGTTGCTTTACCATTAGTGCTGCTACAATTAGTCGATTAATTGAGTGTGAATGTGAATATTTTCTGTTTTCTTTCCTCCTCTGACTGTAAAATGAATATCTTTGGGTTTGTTACAAAACAAGACATTGAGGATGTCCTTTTTGGCTCACATTTTCCACCATTTTCTAACATTTTTTTGGACCAGACAACTAATTGAGAAAATGATCAACAGATTAATCATTAGTTGCAGCCCTATTTACCATCGTACTTTATGCATTTTCATAATAATATATTTACCTAATAAAAGTATCTCTACATTTACGTTGTGACAGTAATATATTTGAGCGCTTGTGGTGGAGATGTCCTATTTATAGCACTGTGTTTTTCTGTGTGCCTTCCACAACAGAGTGACAGCAGCACACCATCCTGTGGACAGACATGAGCCATACTACTCTGAAGCCAGTGGGTCTGTATTACAGTTTTACAACACACGCTTGTCTTTCAGTATTGAATATAGAAACAGCGCACATGAGGGTTATTTGTAGCGTGATGTTTGGTATACAGACTCCAAAGGTACAAGGCATAGCTGAGTGATATCTGGAGTGAAATATTTATTACCTCTGATGTTATTAATGTCAGGAAACATAGCTTTTATACGGTGGTTTTAAGGCACGTGCATTCACGTTAGGGATGGGTATCGCTACTCCGACCAAAACAGCACAGTATTGAGTAGAATCGAAACGTCTCCAGTCAAACCAGTACTTCAATCGATACTTTTTGTAACCAGATCGCGGCAAAAAATTACTATTTGCATGTCGTGCTGCCTCTCTTTTTTTCTGTGTCTTCAGTGTAGTTAAGTGACTAGTTTAATCAGATTCTTTTCTCGTTTTATACTTGTGACTGTTGTTTTTGGAGGAGGTTTGCGACTCACCAGTAGCCTAAAGGAAAAAGCACTCGCAGAGATCTTTCAGTTCATTTATCGGAAGTTAAAGAGGTGGCGTTATGCTTTTTGGCTTTTTTCCCTCCCCTTTATTGAGTTATAAATAAGGATTGAGAAAACTTTATGGTAGCATTTTTCGGCAAGGCAGCAGAGATCTTCAGAACACTGGCTACAGTTCAACGTTTAGTCTTGATAGTAAGATGTGGAACAATGATGTTGTGGACTTGTGAGTAACTTATACCATCTGCTAGGTTACGGTCGCAGTCTGAAGCAGCTTTGATTTGGATCACACTACCTTGTTTCTTACGACCCGCCCTTCTCTGCTTCTGATTGGCTAGTAGTCGGGAACTGCACATGTGCAACTCCCAACAAAGATTTTGTACAAGTAAGATGCATCACTCTGTAGCTCGAGCGGAACGTACAACACATAGGGTGAAAAAAGGAGCTGCAGCAATGTGCAGTATGAGAAAAATATGGAGTTTTTTGAAAATTAAAACGATGTAAACCTGTTCTGGAACAACCCCCCTAATTAAGATTTCGAACCTGAAAATTAGCATAATACCACGTCTTTAACAAAATAATTTTACGTTTTTTACTTTCAACACGCGTATCAAACAAAATACCGTACATCGTTTCCCTCAACTTATGTGGTCACTAAACAATTTCACTCCTCTCTCATTCAAATATAAAAAAATTCTTTCCCCATATAGTACTACCCATGAGGATGACCTAATTAGGATGAGGAGCGATCTGATACAATTTCCCAATACTTTTATGTAACAGTTATTTGAAACAAGAAAAAAATAAAATAGATAACCTTGCTTGTCCATAACAACAATAATTGCTTGTCCAT